CCCCCAGATTTTAAGTCTTTGTGCGACTGTTCTCTACTCCAAATGATTTATGGAAAGCACCAAGCAGCTGGGAGGCAGCACTTCATTTGCTGTCAAACAGTGCACACCTTATTTAAAAACTTATTGACTTCTGAGCTTTAAGCCACTGGTGACCAAATTACAAATGCACAGTGATGCCAACTCATATCTTGAAGAAGTGAATTAATGCATTTCACTTCACAACACAGATCAGACAGCTTTTGACCGTGAACCACTCAGCTGTGCAGAAGCTCACTCCATCACTCCACCAAGGCATCCACCTAGCTCATAAAGCAGCCAGCTGCACACACAAGCAAGTCAGTCAGCTCCCTTCTCTGAAATTAAACACTGATTGTAAACCAAGCACTTGCCGTGCTGCTTCTGTGAATGGAAATGCAGATCTCTTACCTGAGGGGTGGTAATTATAACAGCGCCATCTACATGCGACGCACTGAGGTACTGCACAATTGAGAGGTGCTCATCTGACGTCCCTGGAGGGGTGTCTACAATCAGGTAGTCAACTTCACCCCAGTCCACATCACGAAGAAATTGTTTGATCAGCCCTAGCAGAGAGGACAAGAACGTGGGATTAAATGAAATAAAAATCCTTGTATATTTCAGTCTGCTTCAAATTTTAGAGCCCAGATATGCAAATTCTTCTGACTACAGCCAAGTGCAGAAGTGCTTATTTTGCAACGAATTAAAACAAACAAAAGGCAAAACCCAATAAAGCACCTGACCCACTGTAGCCATTATTCAAAGAAACTAGAGAAGATATTGAGAAAAAGTTCTGTGATGAAAGCGGAAGCAGGAACACAACTATATTGTGCAGCTCTGGCTCTACTGTGCAAGAAAAATGATGAAGGCATGCTAACTACTACTGAACAGTGTGCAGTATTCACTGCTTCTTGCCATCGCTTACTTTATTAGATTTGTGCTTTAGCCAAGTAAGCTCATCTTCAGGTATTCACTCTTCCAACCATGTAAGTTGTTGCTGAAAACCCTGAACACGTACCATTTTTTTTTGGTCCTCTCCAGATGACAGCATCGTCAGGACTACTGAGCAAGAACCCCACTGACATGACACCTAAGTTTTCCTCAACATACTAAAAGAGAAGAGAAACTCCATGCAGAACAGGAGAGAAAGGGTAGAGGGGATACACTGCAGGTGACCTTCAGACAAAAAACACCTGGCATTTTCCCTGCATATTTTTAAGATTAATGAGGTGTTTTCTGGGGGGTGTAAAAGACCCTCTGTCCACTACAATTAATACAAAAGCACACTGTGCTTCTTCCCCAGCCATTCTGCTCCTTACAACAGTGTCAAACCCAGCCAGCCACCTCTCTGGGAACAGCTGCACCAGCTTACCACTGGAGACCATCCTGATCCACTCTGATGAACCTGAAAATTGAAGAGATACGTACAAAGTCACACGAGAAATTAATGCAGAAGTTATGTAAAAGATGAACAGAAGATCAAAGAGGATAAAAAGACCTTGCCTACGGATGTGGTGCCACTGTATTGGAGCAGGTTAATTAAAAATTGCAGAAGTTACATCTCCATTAATAAGTGAACTGCTTGAACGCTCTTGCTGGAAACATAACCATGATTTTATATAAACACATTAAACATTTCAGAGCTGATAAAGAGCACTATGCTGGTATGACTCAGGTTCAGTATTCATGGATTAGCAGTAGATTCAGAGCAGCACCTGCCTGGCAGAACTGGTCACCCCGACTGCCTGTGACTCTCTAACAAATGACACCACGCTGCACATTGGCCATCTCAGCTTTTTTGCTCCCCTGGCTTCCCAATAAACGACCACATAGAACCCTTAAATCTAAGCGAAGCTTTAGTCTTAATGACACACTGGGGATGCTTTTATCTGACACATTCGCCTCTCGCTATAGCAGCGGTCAGAGCGCACCTGCTCTCCTTCCAGACCCATCATCTTAGGGATGGACGGCCCACAGATGTCGACGTCCAGCAGAGCAACCTGGAACACAAAGCAACGAAGGCCCGTGGAAACGCGCCTGCACAGCAGGGCTCTCAATGCAAAGCCCCGCAGCGCACACCGCAGCGCAATAAGCGGAAAGCCGATCGCGCCCCACCTGTTTGCCCTCGTCGGCCGCCAGCCCGCGAGCCAGCAGCGCGCTGAACGTGCTCTTCCCCACGCCGCCCTTCCCGGAGAGCACCACCACGATGTGCTTCACGCCGCGCAGCCGCTCCCTCAGCTCCGCCGCCTCGGCTGCGGGCAGTGCGGCCGCGTCAGCCCCGCCGCAGCGCGGAGCCCCGTCCCGCGCCCCCGGCCCTCTCACCGCCTTTCTCACCCGGGTCCGTAGCGGCGCCGCCGGCGGCGCAAAGCTTCTGGTTGGGGCATCCCTGACATGCGGCGGCCCGACCCGCCTGGGCGCTGCCGGTTCCCGGGCAGTCTGCAAGGGGATGCGACAGCTGCGGCACGAGTCCCGCCGGCGGCCGCGAGCGCCACGACACGCCGGACCCGCGCGGCGCCGCGTCCCTCACCCTCCGGCTGCGACCCGTCCGCCACCTCGGCCATGGCGCCGGCCATACGCCACTTCCGCCGGGAGCGCGGCGCCCTACGCGCATGCGCCTGCAGCCGGGGGTGGCCATACCGCCTGGACGCTAGGGGGCGCTGCAGGACGATAGTGGCCGCGCTGCGCCGTTGCGCGGGTGCTCGTGCTGGGAGTTGTGTGTCCGCGACGTTATGTGCCGTTCCAGTAAAATAAGGCCACTGGTACAATTTGCGGCAGTTTTGAGTATCTGTGGAAACCGCAGCGGTAAAATTGAGAACCCGAAGGACCCCAGCTGGGCATCCTGTGTGTTAGCAAAGGACAGGCGATCTGACAGAGCCGAGCGTTGAGCCATGGCACCGTTCTTCTTTCCTGGGGGAAAATAAAACACCGCTCTAAGTAACTGTCCACATGCCAAAGGCAGACTAGGAACAGAAGTCTTGAAGCACTGTTAGTTTATGGGGAGCTGGCCTCTGGGGTCGGCTGTTGACCACTGCCTGTTACAGCATTTCCATTTACAGGGCACTGACCTCAGGTAAATGCTGATCACCATGTGCTACATGCAGAATTACTTGCAGAATTCCTGATGAAACAGCAGCTCCACTTGAGGCCAGGGCTCAGAGCAGTGCTTTGGGTCTGTGCTTCCTTCAAACATGGATCAGATTTGCTGATGTCAGCAAGCCTTTCCACACCATACAGTGAGGCATGTGTGCAAACATTTCTCTTCTCGGGCCAACAGATCATTTCCTGTTCCCAAGATTATATAGAAAATTCCCCACACAGAGCAGCAAAATAAACCTCTTCCTTGGAACCCCCTCCCTCCTGAGGCAGTGAGGCCACGTCCGTTCAGATACAGCTCACACCTCATGGGAAGATAAATATAACTTAACTATAATTTGATTGAAATTCTCACTCCTTTTTTTTTTTCTCTCAGCTGAAGTGTAATATCATGCTAGTGGTCTGCATCATAATGCATATAAATATGTACCTTTTTGTTTTCCCAAATTAAAACAAAAACACAAAAACAAGCTGATTCCGGTAAACCTGATGAGGTTCAGCACGGCAAGGTGCAGAGTTTGGCATTTGGGCTGGAGGAATCCCAGGCATCCATACAGACTGGAAGGAGCAGACCTTGAGAGCAGCCCTGTGAAGAAGGACCTGGGGATCTTGATAGATGAAAAACTTAACGTGAGCCAGCAGTGTGCCCTTGTGGCTCAGAAGGGAAATGGTATCCTGGGCTCCATCAAAAGAGAGGTGGCCAGCAGGGACAGGGAGGTGATTGTCCCCCTCTGCTCTTGTGAGGCCCCATCTGGAGCACTGTGTCCAGGTCTGGAGCCCCCAGTACAAGAAAGACAGGGAGCTGTTGGAGAGGGTCCAGAGGAGAGCCACAAAGATGATCAGAGAGTTGGAGCACCTCCACTATGAAGACAGGCTGAGGGAGCTGGGCTTGTTCAGCCTGGAGAAAAGAAGGCTGCAGGGTGACTTCATTGCAGCCTTTCAGTACCTAAAGGGAGCCTACAAACAGGAGGGGAATCGACTCTTTGAAAGGGTAGATAACAGCAGGACAAGGGGAAATGGTTTGAAGTTGAGGGAGAGGAGATTTAGGTTGGATGTCAGGGGGAAATTCTTTACAGAGAATGGTGAGGTGCTGCAACAGCTGCCCAGAGAGGTTGTGGATGCCCCGTCCATCCCTGGAGGTGTTCAGGGCCAGGTTGGATGGGGCCCTGGGCAACCTGGTCTGGTATGAAATGGGGAGGTTGGTGGCCCTGCATGTGGCAGGGGGGTTGGAGATTCATGATCCTTGAGGTCCCTTCCAACCCTGGCCATTCTGTAATTCTGTGATTCATACGTATGTATCTGGAGAAGGAGTGATGATAGCAGCTGTCTTGCATTCAACCTAGAAGAAATCTGCACTGATTTAAGGACACTTAGGATAGTACACTTAGAGCCTAGATATAAATAATTATTTATATTCAAAATCCCTGGCACAGAAAATGGGTTACGATGTGATCTTAGAGCACTGGATTGCAGGAGCTTTTTGCCAGAAGCCTGAAAGGAAAAACTACAAAAGTAAGTTCTCTGAAAAGCAACCAATGCTTAAAACATGGGAAAAATCACCAGGAGAGGAAGGTACTGTTGTTTGCATGCGCATTTGGAGCAAACCATCTGCAAACATCATCAGGACAGCCCAAGGCAACACCCAGAGCCTGTGCTTCAGTTCAGGCTTGTTTCTAATGTCTGCAACTGTCTGTCACACTTATACTGCTTGGATGCAACCTGCAATTCACTCAAGGCAGACCCAGTGAAGGCAAGCCCACAGCCCCATCTGGAGAGAGCCTTCAGTAAACATTCTGAAGGGTGGAGCAAAGGCTATGGAACGCGCCCTGTGACACCACTGTGTATCACTGGGTGCCCGCAGCCCAGGACAGCCTGCAGTGGGGCTGCCTGAAGGCAGCTGCCTGAGCCCTGGGCACGATGGAGTTTTTGGGGACCACGCAGGTTGCCAGCTACTGTGGCACGCGGAAGAGCTGCCTGTTCCCGGACCCAGCCCCCACCAGCACCACCAAGGACACCTACCAGTCCTACTACCTGCCAGGATGCCGCTACCTCAGTTCCTGGAGGCCCAGTCTGCTTCACAGAGTGGTCTCGGTCCCTCCCAGCTCTGCTGAGCTGTTCAGTCCCACTGGGCGGCCACCCACTGTTCTGCCCACCTTGCGTTCCTCCCTCCATTCCCGCTACAGCACTCGCGACTGGCACCAAGCAAACATGGTTCAGCTAAAAGGCTCTGAAGCCTCCAGGTACTGGGCTGGAAGGCTGAACACTGATTCCTTGCGACTGATGCAAGATAAGGACCAATTGACTCATCAGATGCAACAAGACAGTAGCAGAAACTTGGGAGAGAGGATCTCTAACATTGATTTCTGGAGATCTGAGCTCGCCTATGAGCTAGAGTGTCTGCTCAAAGAGACCCAGGCCTTGGAAACGGCCAAGAAGCGGCTTGAATGTGCTGCAGGAGAAATGCAGGGACCGCTGAAGGTAGGTTTGACACAGCTGCTTACTTCATGACTATGGCTAAATGGGTAAAGAGAATATTTTTCTCTCTGTTGAATACTATTAGAACTTCCACCGTTGTCACCAAGACAGACCGCGGTCAAACATTACCCTTGGTAGGAAGGAAGCTTGGCCACCATGGTCACAGGTCAATACAGGAACCTACCAGGATGCTTCTAAGCCTTCTTCCCCTGTCTTCCCGCTCCAGGAGGCAGAGGCTCCGGCAGGCCCAGGCAGTCATCTCTGTGCCTTCCAGGAGAGCACGCAGTGGCTCAGTGAGCTGCAGCACTCCTGGGCTCCCTGTTCACTAATGGTAGTTACGCAGTCATTCTCTAGAATGTAGATGCAAAACTTCCAAACTTTGATACTGAGTAAGGGTCAAAGGGTCAAAGTATAAGAGTTAGGAGAGATGAGAGTCAGGGATTTTGCCATGGAAGTGTAGAACAGAGGTGTTTTAATTAACACAATTTTAAACAAAACGGGCAAGTTGTGATGTAGGCCTTGCTGACTTTACTGTGCAGCTAATCAAATGAAAGCTTTGGTGGCAGCTAATCCCTAGAAGTATGTATTAACAGGTAAGGTAATGAACCACAAAGACTCATAGTTCTGTGCAGTGGAGCCATCTCCTACTCTGTTTCACCCTCACTGGATATCATTTGTCATGTCAGCTCCGTGGTTCCTTCAGCAAAGTTTTCCACTGTACAGTGCAGTACTGTGCCCATTGCAAATGTTCTTTGGTTTGCTCGCAGACAGCCCTGGAATGCTTGTACTACCGCGAGAAGCGGAAGGAAATAGACTTGGTTCATGATGATGTGGAAAAAAACCTCATGAAGGTAAGACTGGACTTACTCGTTTATGTTTTAAACTGTGAGAATAACTGAAGTCCAACTAAGTGCTTATCAGGGCAAAAGCATTTAGCTCATAGCTCATTTGGAAGACTGAAGGTGAGAGAGGAGAAAAAATGGGTTAAACTACATGTAGTGGGAATGATTGATATTCTGTTCATCCTCCCTGGAACAAGAGGAGCAGCCATGCGTCTGTCTGAGGTGCTCTCCAGTTTTGTCTTCTCCTACAAAATGATGTAGAAACAATCTCAAAATTGTTTTTTAGGCCATGTTCTATAAAATTTGTGAAGTCCTTCAGGGCTTACAGTATAAAATTATTGTTTACTGCCTTGCTGTTTGTATAGTCTTACTGAACAAGGAACATGAGGATTGTAGTGATTGCTAAAAGAAAAAGCCCACAAATGAGTACCATTTTATTAAGATTTGAAAGAAGTTATATTGGGAGCATAAGAAAACTAATACTAGGAAAGCAAATGATGGGACAATGCCATTTCTTCAAGTACTTTTCTGGATTAGAAGATTACAGAAGGATCTGCAGACCAGCTGAATAACCAGAATGTTTGTTCAGCGCCTACAGTGTGCAACTGTACTAACAGCCAGCTCAGCAGGAGAATGAATGGCAGGATGAAGCACTGCTTACTCTTCCAATGTGACCAGATTAAAAAAATATTTTAAAAAATGAAAAATAAAGACCATTTGTCTGATCTCCTGGGGCGCTGCTCTGATTATGGAATGAGCTAAATGGAGTCGATGAGGGCCAACAGAGGCCTGTTTTGTAGTAACAGCAAAGCCACTTGTAACCTCTGTCAATTGTATATGGTGCAGGTACAGAGACAGAACTTGGCATTTTAATTTTGGGGTGTCTTAATGACTTCCAAATAATTCAAAGCTTTTTATTTGCTGTTTCAAAACTTAATGATATAAAAAAGCTGTTCACACCTCTAAGAGGGTCTCTTATGCCAAAAAAAGGGTTTCTGAAAAGGAAAGAGAATGGATGGTTGTTTGAAGGACTGTAAGTATCACGTTTGCATAGTTTCCAGTGTGGTTTGTTTCAGTATTTTTTATTTATTGTAATCTGAGTGGAAACTTGGCTTTGAATTTCTTTGACTAATATTTACACTTATGAAGAGTGCAAAACTCTTTTATATCAAGGAGCCTACTTCTGAAATCAGATATATTTTCAACCTGCTCTGCTGTTCTTTTAACAAAGTGTTTATATTATTGTAGAAAAATGTAACAGTAGTTGGAGGGTAGTTTAATAGATTAAGGCTCATGTTTCAAGTACATTCATTATACCCAGCCTAAGAAAAATTTGTCCTTACATTTATCAGAATGACTTTATCCATTAACATCTACTAGAATGTTTGATAAAATATAAAAGGCCATACAGAACCAACTCCAAAGATACAAATTTGTGGCACTGAGGAAGAGAGGGACAAAAACACATCCTTTCCTTCTCCACACATCCACACATGAGATGATTTCAGCATCTAGAATGCAGAACTAAAAGGATATATTCACTAAAGCAAATGGAGTTTAAGGAAAGCATTGACATCTGGGTATTTTTCACTCTAGGAGGTTGATCTATACAAAGATTGTCAAGAAATACTGGCAAAACTTGCACAAAGAATCAGTCATCAGTTGGAGTAAGTATTTACGTTTAATTCCTCTTTTAAAGACAAGAAGCTAAATTCAGCGTTGGCTGGGATCTAATGACATTGAAAATAGCAATTGCAAAATCAGAGGCTTAGCCTGTTAGATGCTCCTTGCCCTTCACTTCTCATTCTTACTAACAATAGAATTTGTTAAGCTGCAGAAGAGCAATACCCATCATTTAAAGCACCAAGTGAACCAAGACAATTTGCCATCTTCTTCAAAGATTTCTCTCATCTTACAGCCTTGCTAACATGAGAGCTGTTACTGAATGCCTGCTCTCTTTTGCTCTGAGGCTGTCCTGCATGCCACACAACTATCTCATGTTTTTCACCCATGTGGTCATTTGCCATCAAAATGACAAGCGTCATTCCATGCGCAGAGTTAAATGCAGTTCTTCGGGGAGCGTTCTGAAGCTAAAAGGTGAGCGGGGTGAAATGGTACAGCAGCTCCCTCTAGCTAAATTACAGCGCAAAGCATTTTCATGCCACCGTAAGTGCCAGCAGATGATACACTGAAGCATGGAAGGGTGTTAATGAAGGCAGTTAGCTAAAGTACGGAGTACTAAAGCTTCGAAGATAGTTTAGATTAAAGTAAGACTTTCCCCTTCACAGTATCAACAGAGATGCGCAGCATGCCCTGGAGCAGGACCTTTCTGACAAAAACTCAGCCCATTTTATTGACACGAAGTGCTTTAACCTGAGGAACACATCAGACAGCATCAACTTCTACCATGGAGTGGAGAAAGCAGATGGGACGTGAGTACGAGTGGTCGCTGCTGTCTTGTCTTTCCAAGCAGGAGCCTGATTACAGCACAAGTTCTAGCCTCATATTGGAAAAGTGGCAGGAAAAGAAGTGTCTCTGTATGGCCCTACGTCTTTCCTTGGTGTGAACCCTCCCTCATCCTCAGTCAGTGCCTGCTTTCTAACAGCTGCCGTGGTTGGAGAGCAGACAGGAGCTGACAGTCTGCAGCACCCACAGTACTGTGCACTGAGCTGCTGCAGAGAGAGCAATCACTTACAAACATGTTGCAGCTGACTCGCCTTCAAACTGCTTCATGCAGATCTCTCTTTTTGGTTTTTATTTATAATCTTCTGTGTTCTTCAGGTTTCAAAACCCATGAAATCAAAGCAAAATATAACTGTGGTGTGCAGCTACGTGCAGCGGGGTGAGCAGCATGCAGGTGAACACCAAAGACTATATATCTTTTCATAAAAATAGCTTGGATTATTTGGAAATTAGCCCATCAAGATGTACAGGACATGCATTAAACAGTATGACTGAAAGGATTTAATAGATTTTAGCATGACTGAAATTTTGCAGTTGTATACAGTTTTAAAACTGCATATCATAGTTTACTTATGAACACCTGCATCCGATTCTAAAGTAATAGCAGAAGAAAAACAACATGCAATAGAGGGCAGTGTTTTTGTGCTAATGACTTGTTAATGCACTGCTCACTTGAACAGAGCAGTATCTAAATGGTGAACATACTCCACAATTTCAGATGATGGCGACTCTGTCTTGCTGAACAGTGGAGGGAAAAAATGTGCACTATTTGTTTACTAACAGAACATAAGATCACCTCATTCACTACTGAAATAAGGGAGTAAATGAGAAAAACTTGGCAGGAGTTCTGCTGACTCCAGTCATACTACCGACTCTTAGTATTAGCAATGAAAATAAAAATATGCTTGTGGATAAGTTTTACGGCCCTTTTCCTTTTTCACCAACCATAATCCAAAGCAATGCCATTTTTCATTAACATCTAACTGAAGTAATCTGGCAAACTGAGACGTGCATGCAGCACTTGGGAGCAGAGCAGGTGTATTCTGCCTGAATCATTCAACAGAGCCAGCCAGATAAATTACAGTCTGGAAAAACAATGTTAAAAACCAGATCAGGTATTAAGTATTTCAAACCATCAAGATGGAAACCTGCTTGGGAACTCAATTTTCTGAGCAGAAAATGAATATAATACATCAGACCAAAAAGAAAAAAGAAAAAAAACAACAAAAAAACAGCCACCGAAACCACGAAACCACCCTACAGAAAGTACACTGAGATTGGCTGGGTAAGTTGTAAGCACTGTCAGCTCAGCCTTAATGCACTGATTTATGCAGTCTTGAAATCGTGTTGGGTGCCCGAGACTTTTCAGGGCAACTACTGAAACAAATGTGTAGTACTAAAGATTTCCAAATACCTTGGGAAGATCAGTGCTTCAGTTTAGAGAGACAGGGATACCCTATGAAAAACTGGGAAAAAAAAGGGGGGAGCCACTGAGAAAACAAGATATCACAAAATTCAATTATTTCATCCCTTAATATTAAATCTCAGTTTTCAGTTAAAATCTAAAGAAAAAAAATATGAGACTGAAAAAATGGCAAAACTTTCCCTGCAGATTTAACACACAAGCATCGTTCTTAGAGGGAAGTTTTGCATAAAGCAGGATGTTTAAATGCAGGCAGAAGTTTTTCTCAGCCTTTCCTTTTGGCAACTAAAAGATAAACCTTTTCATAAAATATTCTGATTTTTGTCTGGTTGAAGGGCAGAGTGATCTGGTAGGCTGAGCAATGCATTAAAGAAGGCAGTGAATTTAACTCCAAAGAGGGCAGCTTATAGAGTACCACTTCTTGCTGGGGGCTCAGGCAGCAATCTTAGGGCCCTACAGACTCCCACTTTGGAAAAATCTGAGTCTGAGATGTATGTTCAATTAAGGTAATTAAGGCCATCTGTGAAGGCTTGACATAAAACCAAGAGTCCCAAAGTTTTTTTGGCTACACGACATTGCAGAGGAAACATTCTTGGCTTTCGTTTTTTCTGTGCAGGAGACCTTTATTCAGTTTTTCTATGTCTATTTGTAGACTTTCCCATAGCAATGTCATTTCTGTATGTCTCGTATATATTAATAAGTTTAAGAATAATAGGGCCAAAAATTAAAGCAGAAGTGTTCATTATAATGCATGGAAAAGAAAGAGGATGGAGATCCTACAAATAGCAAAGATGGCCAGTGATGGAGCAGGAAGAAATTGCAGTTCTCCTTACTCTATCCTAGGTCAGTCAGTGAGTTGTCCATCCTCCTGCTACCATTCCTTCTGATGATTAAGGCACTAGGAGAATCAAAGCCACGTGCTTTGCTGCATGGGTCATGCATTTCTCGAGATGTAGGGCTGTTGATGTGTAACAATCTTGCTCTCAAGGCTAGTTGGTCATTTGCATCACATAGGTTGGCTTCTCATGTTTTCTGGCAGTTGCTGACACACAGCTCAGATTCTCCATGATAAAGGCCTTGGGTTGTCTCAGGCAGAATGTGAATCCAATTTGATGATGTACAATGTACCTTTATTTTCCTTACTAGTGTTTCAGTTCCTGCAACATGGGCTAAATTCAGTGAAGACAATATCAGGTGCTCTCAACATGCAAGGGCCAACTCTGTCAAGCTCCGGGAGGATACAGAGGCTGCACTGGAGAGCACATCTGAGGAGCTGTGGAATCAATTTGTCAGCACCAACTTGGCCTTTAACAGCCGCATTGCCGAAGTAGCTGATGCAAAGAACAAACTCCAAGCACAGCTGGCTAAGGTAAGACCCAGTAAGCATTGGCAGCTGTGTATAATCCTAAATGTGCATGAAAGGCACAGAAATCTCTAGAGTTTACATCCTTCTTGAATAAGCACCTCATCAAAAGTCAGCTATATTAGCTTTCGTCAGGCAATGCATTTGCATCACTTGCAGCCTGAGGAGAGCTCACTCGAAGATGAGCAGCCTGAGAAGATGACAGAATTTTACAACAAACCATACAACATCTGTCCCATACAAAGAATCACTGTGCTTATGTTCATTTGCACTTTACATGTCTAAAGTGGGGAAAAATGTTTTAAGTTTTCTTTGTTTTCCTATTTTTCATTTATTGAGGTTATTCCCTGGTGATTTCCTGAGCAAAGAAAGTGTTGTTATTTTTTTGGTAAACAGTGAAATGACTTTGGAAAGCACACAAATAAAAAGGCCCACAAACATTGTAACATTCTTTTTCTTTTAGAAGAAAGAGGATATTTCAAGTTTTTGCACTTTTTTTTCTGCAGTAGTAAAAGTTCAGAACTTAAAAATCCTTCCATTCAAAATGTTATCAGTCTGCCTTTGAAACCTAAGTTCCCAGTTGTCCTTCTCCTTCTAATACAATATACCTTTACATCTTTAACCTCAATTTTAGCCTTGATTGTGCTTGAAAATAGTCTCATATCTTGGGGTGGTTCAGACAGTTAACTTCTCAAATATTTCTTCTTTCTTTTCATGTGATAAAAAGCAGAAATAGCACCAAAGGTGACAGACCTGTATTAAATTCCATCTGTAAACCCTTTTCAGTCAGTTTTCATGGAAAAATGTGACTTGTTGGAAATGTATTCGTGGAATTTTGAAACATGTTCTAAAGTTAATAAGAGGTGCTGCCTTTGTACTGACAGATAAAATCTTGTTAAACTATCAAGACTTTCTGTGTCATTCATGTGACTTCAGTCAGAGTTCACTGAGTTCTTCTACTAAGACTCCTTCTCTTATAGAGGAGGCTCGTGCTCACTCATTTGTTTCAATGCACATTTGGAAACAATAGAGTTTTCCTGCCATTCTATTTGTCATAAGTTGTTTTAAGATGTTTTCAGTTTATTTTTAGGGACTTGAAGGAAAGTGCAAACCAACCAGCTAAATATGTGTGAAGTCACAGCACATAATGTTTTCTTCTATTTTTTCCTGCTTATGAAGCACAAAAGATGTTGAATGTAGTTTTTGTGTGGTTTGGATCTTATATAAATGAAGCCAGCTATAGCATTTTATCCTGAATTGAATATTCACCTAAGTTTCTCACGGTCTTAATCTTTGAATTCTTGCTTCGCACTTTCCAGTGACTTTTTATAAAAGGTAGAATAAAATACAGAAGGTAGAATAGGGCCACGTGTGGAACCACAAATTGCAGTGTGAAATAGCAACACACTATCAAAGATTTGGTCATCGCGTCCAGCTGACGCAACGCTGACAGCTTGTAGATAATAGAGGAAAAAGTGACTTGTGTCCCCATGCTGTCACACTACTGGATTGCAATAAGAAGTGACTGGGAGAAACTGAAGTAATCGTATATGAAGATCTTTACTGCATAAAGAATAATTAGGTTGTGTGGTGTGCATGGATTAAAAAAGCATCATGCAGGATGGCATTCCATGAGCTCCTGCTGCTATGCAGTGATGAGTTACAAAGTGACAGCACATACACAGCAGAGACCTTCATCTCAAACTCCATAGTGATGTAAAAACAAAATGCTGTAGGCTTGCAGAGCAGAAATGCTGCTGGTTAAGGAGTGGATGAAGCTATATGATAGAAAGCCTATTAATTCTTTTGCTCGTGATACCTCAAAAGGACAGGAGGAAAGAGAGAGAGTAAGGAATGAATGCTCAGTTAATGGCCATCTATAGCTAAGCAGAGCTGATTACGTTTTATTCTTTCTCCAAGCTTGCAGTGTTGTCTGTAGAACTTAGAGAAAAAAGTATGGCTGGATATGCTTTAATAAGACAGCCACAGGAGCAGCTAGGGCTCAAGGCTGTCCCTTAAACACTACCACACTGCTACAGTTCCTTTTCCTTTCACACGCAATACCAACCTATTCACCACAGCGGGTGCCACAATTTCATTTTCTTGTGTTTAGAAAATGGATCACTCTTTCAAAGGCTGTTTTTGCACTGGCTTCACAAGCAATGAATGTCAGTATTAGAGACATCCTTCCTTCTGCCAAATTCTTTTCCCAGCTAAGCAGTCTACCTCCATGAACTGGGAGAATGAGGATAGAAAAAGTTTCCTTGGAACCAGGAAAAGTTTTATATTTAATGAGATCTGAAGTTCATTTCTGAATGAAAAAATAATTTTCTGCTTTGTGAAACAGCCAAATCTCTTCCAGACAAAAAGCTACGCAGGGAACTTCCTGTAATCATTTGTTTCCAAAATCAGAAAGGAAAGAATAATTTAAAAAAACCATACAAGAGTAAATAGTGTGAATATGGTGATGATAAAAAATAACCACATGTTGAAATAGGACATTTTCTTCTGTCTATATCACTTACATGCAGAAGATCAGCTGGATAAGATTATGAACCTAATGCCTCAGCTTGTGGTCTCAGCATGTTCTTCCTCCTCCTAAAAAAGTACCAAATTAGCATATAAAAAAAAACCCCAAATGCAAAGAAAATCAGCAATTCATTATTACTCTGTTTAGTTCTATTGTAGAATATCATCTTCCTTTATGTCCAGATAAGTGTTTTCTATTTACCAAAAGACGCCGAATGTCTCTATGTAATAAGGGCATCCTGTTGTTTTCACTTCTATCAAGAGTTAGGCCAGGAGTTTTGCCAGGACCTTCTCCATCAATGACATAATGTCTCCATTTCAGGTTACAAACTGTACAAGTCTCAGAGCAATAACTACACAGCAGTACATCTGCTTTTTAAAGCATTTTTTTTGCTGCTAGCATGGTGGGTGGAATTGAACCTCAGTTTCCACCACATTCCTGCACCATTTACCTTGAGTTACTGATATACAGTTGAATAACAGATCTGAAGAAATTCCCTGTTGCAACTGACTGAGATTCTCACACAGCTTTTAAACTAGGTTTGTACTCTAAAATGTCCGTGCATCATGTTTAAAAGTGCATGAACAAAACGCACTTGAGAGTAATACTTCATATAGTTTGCCTTCACTACATACTTCCCAATGCAATCAGGACCAAGGGATGCAGTGAAGAACTCTTCCTGTAAGGCATCTGATAAACAGACATGAGAAAATTATTATATAAGAGGAATAGAGCAGAACCCTCAATAATGAAAGTGCTTGGCACTCTGCTTTTTTGTATATAAATTAGTCCAAACAAACCACTTTACAATACAGATCACCTGCTCCACTACATTTTTTACTATGAACCTCCACTCCTTTTCATTTATTTAGAGGAATGGCTTAGTGACTTACAGATGTATCATCTTGGGTTAGATCAGCTGCGACTTTATCTTTTATTCTACTTGGAGTTCAGCCTGGAAGTCGGTGCTTGAAAGGGCTCCAAGTTCAGATCAGGTTTCCAAGTCAGTGTGAGAGGTCTCCAAAGCGCATTGTTTGCCAGTGATTCCAGCTTGCCTTTCTGCGTTCGCAGTCCAGCTGCTGTCTGCTCTCACTGTTACTCCACTGATGTATTCAGGAAACTGTCTGAGTTTTCTTTCCTTCAAATTTTTATTGTCTGCTTTTCCTTCCTGACATTTCTTTTGGGGAAGCTGGCTGGTGAGGCTCACAAACCCCAACTCTATCAGAAATCTGGGAAGCGATTTGCCTAAGGAAACAGTAAAAACGGATTGAAGTGCTTCTGTATGACTCTGAACAGGAATCTATTGAATGCAGAAAGGAAATGCTTTTCCTAAAAACTTGCTTTATATGTCTCTGTTTCTAGTTCATGATAGGGCTTCCATGATGAATTATCCTCTGCCCGCTTTTGCTTGATTTTTCTCTAGCAGGCTGAGACAACTTGCCATCTTTTCAGAAACTCAGTACAGGAAGTATGGGTGTGGTATAAAGCATTTCCTACTGCAACTCTGAAGCCTGGAAGCCATCACAACTGCAAGAAGGATTAAAAGAGTGGAAACCGGGCAATTGCTTGAATGAGTTCCTCAACTTCCTCCTTAGTAAGATGAAAAGGATGATGTTAGTAGCACTAGATGACACCTCTAGATTTAGGTTATTCAAATAACTGTTGGGGAAAGGGCACAACACTTGCTAAATCTACAAACGGCTGTATAGAAGCAGACAAAAACATAAGAAGAATCAGAAGCCAGACAAATCCAGATGGAAAACATACACACTTCCTTTTCACAGCAACGGAATTCATCGCTGCAACAGTTACCACAGATGGGTGACTTCATTAGTGTGAGGAACTGAAAATCAAGATAAGATCGCTGTGCTCCCTGAAAGCTCTGCTTTTCCTACAGGCACTGGCTTATGAAGAGGAATTGCTACAGGGTAGAGTAGTGTCCTGCAGGCAGTGTAGGCAGCTAAATAACTCAGACTTTCTTCTCACCCTGAGATTGAAAATGTCCTATTTCCATTTCTATCCCAACTGCATAAGTCTGTGATTAGTTTGTCTTACTTGATTCTGGGATTAATCTTGTCTTCTGAGAATTCTTGTGAGAATCTGGATGGCAGAACCATAGATGCATGAGGTTCTGGAGGCCAGAGACAAGGAGCCCTTGCTGGCCAGGGTTCAATCCTACACCAAAGAGGCTATCACAGCTGTGCTGTGTTTCCTTGTCACTGGGCTCACAGAGAATGTAGCTGTTTGGGGATGGAGATATTTTTCAGGGTTCTAATCACAATGTGACCTTGGTCAGGCACAGAGCTGTTCTGGGACCAATATTTTAGGGCAGTGAACAGCAAATATAGCCCACACAATTCAGTGTAGAAGATGGTGGTATGGTAACTACAGCATGCACCGCTACAAGAAACACTCAGTTTACGATGAGAGAAAATATGATAAACATATTTGACATCTGATATAAAATCTATACAAA